TATATAGTTAAAAAATGCCCTGCTGATTTTTACCTGAGGTGCAAAACGTTATATTCTTGACTTGCAACCAATCGCCTGGTACACACCAGACAATGTTCATTGATAAAATCACAAAATAGACATGACATGGTATATCTATTCTGTGATAAAAAATCGGGTACGACCTGGGGCGATAAGGAAAAATCTCAAGCTCTGGTTGAAATAAATCATTGCTGGAAGAAAGACTACGAAGAACTTCAAATGCGATATGAAATGCTTAAGGGCGAGAAGCGACTACTTAAGACGAGGAAAAGGAGTTAAAACTACGTATATCTGAGCTGGAAAAACGACAGGGACCTTTAGAAAGCGAGCTAGCCAGACTAGTCAGCAATGGCGGACCTTCGGAAGAGCAATGTGAGATCCTGAAGTCTCAGATAATCGTTTACAAAGAGGATTTTGAAAGGGAGAGAAACGATCGGGAGAAATTACATGAAGAGAAGGGAAAATATAAACATAAACTGAAGGATTCTGAGGAAATTATCAGAAAGTTAAGTGCGGAACTTGATGCTTCTGAGAATGGGTACCTAAGTGAGAGAGTTGCCACTCGGTACCAGGTGCAATATACCTGGAGAACGGAACAACAAAGAAGAGCAAACCTCCCCCGGAATCTCCCAACAACGTCAATATTTTACGGAGGAGATGTTGAAGTTGATGTACTCAGTTTTATCGTTCCCGCGGTCTAGTGAGGCTTTTCATATTATATCACGCAATCTGGCGATTTCTTCATCTTCCTCGTGCAGCATTTTTGAAAGTTGTATGTTAACATTGTACGTCCGACCTTTTGATCTTGATATCTTTATCTTTCTCAAAACTTTCGTGTAAACCGTTGGACAACATGGCTGTATAAAAAATAGAACGGCTACAACACGATGTAACGTCCCTAACATGTTTCGAAACAGTTTCTTTTTACATAATTATAGTTACAAACGCGTAAAAATTAAATCGCAATTTAAATGAATATGAATGATGAGCAGGGCCGCAGAGAGGGGGGCAGGGGGGGGGGGGCGAAATTGCCCCGGTGTGCTGGGGGGCCCTGAAAAATTTTTGTTGTGCCCCAGTCTTTTTTGTGTGTTAAATATTTCCGCGCAAAGGACAAGATATCTGTTTTCTTGGGCTAAGTACCGAAATTTGGCATAAAAAATGAGATAAAGTCCCTGGAAAGCAATTGCAACGTACTCGTCCGGAAAAATGTTTTACTCCGGAAAAAAATTTTTACCCCTAAAATGGTACACTGGCCGAAAATTTGGATAGCCCCCCCCCAAAAAAAAAATTTGCCCCGGGCCCCCGCCAACCTCTCGGCGGCCCTGATGATGGGCACCGGCTTATAAAGTATTTTCAATTTAAATTGCAAATGTAACTTCTATCTAGATACTTATGCGGTCCATATACGTGTTCCTGTACTGAATATGGCAAAAAAATCAATAAGTTCAAAATGAGCTTCAGTTATGGGGCCGGTTGTATAAAGGCAGAATAGCGCTTATCTACCGGATGGCAATTTTTCAAGCTTTCAGTAAGTCAGTCGAACGATATAACCCAGAATAAACTTTAGCATTGATATATCTGTCTAAGGTGGTAATAAAGATTCTTTTCATTCATTGTGAGGTCCATATCCGTAAATCCAGCCTTCGTACAACAGGCCGCTGATGCAAAGCAGAGTTTTAAAGCGCAGTCCATAGTTGTAGATCATGTAGTTACAAGCTACGTTGTATCACCTTCACACCCGCAGTTTTCTCCAATCCTTCTGCATGCATCCTCCTATAATATATATATATATATATATATATATATATATATATATATATATATATATATATATATATATATATATATATATATATATATATATATATATATATATATATATATATATATATATATATATATATATATATATATATCCAGACAAAACACACTTCAGTATTGGTCCTTGGTAAATGGAGGCGTCCCGCAAGGTACAATCCTTTGCCCATTACTTTTCCTCATCATGGTCAACGATTTGGCTATTAACCACAAAGATAGATGGAAATATGTTGATGACACTAGTCTCTCCGAAACAATCGGTAAAGGTTGTCAAAGTAACCTGCAATCCGTTATTAATAATATCGATCAATGGTGCACGGAAAATGATATGATGCTTAATCGTTCTAAATGCAAAGAGCTAATTATCTCGTTCGCTAAGGACGTTCCTAATCTTCGACCATTGTTTATTAAAGATCACTGTATGTCCCCAGTTTTATCAGCAAAGGTTCTTGGTCTGTACTTTTCTTCTGATCTTAGTTGGAACTTGGAACTTACATGTTGAACACATAGTATACAAGGCATCAAAGAGACTTTTTTTTCTCCGAGTGCTTAAACGCAGCGGTCTTGGAGGGAGTTCTCTAATTCAAGTCTATACCACATGTATACGACCTGTGCTTGAATATGCATGCCAGGTTTGGAACTTAAACTCCCCTGACTATTTAAAGGAAGAAATCGAAAGAATTCAGAAGCGAGCCCTACGAATAATATGTCCTGACCTGTCATACCGCAAAGCCTTGGAAGTTCATGAATTATCGTTGCTCTCTCAAAGACGAAATAATTTATGTAAATCCTATTTTAAGAAACTTCTCAACCCGGAAAATAAATTGAGTGAACTTATCCCTAATAAACGCGAAGACTTACGTACTTACAATCTACGTAACGATCAGCATATTAACTTAATTAATTGTAAGACTACAAGATTTAGTAAAAGTTTTATTCCTTCTAGTATCGTATCATATAATGATTCATTTAAATTGTAATATAAATTTTAGTTTTAATATACTGTATATTACTATATGTATTAGTTTTACCATGTATTTTAAATGTCAACTCTGTACAATTCAGCTCTTAGCTGCCATTCAGATTTTGTAATAAATTCAATTCAATTGAATTCAAATACAAGTATGTCAAGTATGGCGCAGCCAATATTTATGCTGCAACCTTTTAAGCGGAATTTTTCTTTTTTTTCCAATAAAGCCTGTTTTCCACTAGGCGGAATTTTGCGCGCGGAGCGGAATTTTTCTTTGTCTTTTCTAATTAGTTCCACCCGAGAAATCACGAGAAAAAGAAAAATTCCGCTCCGCGCGCAAAATTCTGCCTAGGAGTGTAAAACAGGCTTTAGTTCCACCCCTTTGGTTCAACCCGAGAAATCACAAGACAAAGAAAAATTCCGCGCGCAAAATTCCGCCTAATGAAAACCGGGTTAATATTGTATAATGAGGCGTTGCGTAGTAACTCGTTAATAGAAAGAGGTTATTTCGCTGTCTCAGAGTAAAAAAACAAAACACTGAAAGCAACGGTTTTACTAACACTAACCCTATTCCAAACACCAACTCTAATCCTAACCTAGCCCTACTCCAAGTTTGATTCTAAACCAATCATGGCAATCGTGAAGAAAAAAGTTTTGACGAAATGTTATTCTGAGGCAACCTCGCAAGCCAGGGTTTTTGGGAAAAAAACTCCCTCGCCTCAAGCGTGATAAAGACCCTGACTTGCGAGGTTGATTCTGAGGAGTGAGGTCGGCGAAATAATTTCTTCCAGCATATTAATAATATATTATACTAATTGTGATTCTTGCTAAGATGCAAGAGCACTGGCACGCGAGCAGCTTTTCATGATGACCTGCAAGATTTGTCATATAACTGTCGTACTTATCGTTATCGAAATTTCCAGAAATGAACGAGCAGTGAGAATCATGATTTATACAATGAGTTTATGTATGTCTTTATTAAATTGAAAAAAATCTCTCTTGTTCATTTACATACCAGCAAGAAAGTTTTGCCTGTATTTATCAGGTAAGATGCAAGAGATCTGGCACACGACCAGCTTTCAAGATGACCATGCAAAATTGGTCATATAACTGTCGTACTTATACAACCTCGTTCCCAGGCTCTTCCCTAAAACAAGAGGGAAGAGCCTGGGAACGAGGTTGGTACTTATATTGTTAATTTATCGAAAGTTACCGTATTTACTTGATTGAGCGCCGCCCCCGCCTGAGCGCCGCCCCCGAATGAGCGCCGCATTTGAGATCAAATTTTTTTAAAGAGCGCCGCACTAAACAGTGCAAAAACTTTCAGCCGTCAAAATGGGCACATTTAGTAACAAAAACCTTTTAAAACTTGTCTATATTTTATAGTTAAAAGTTCTTGTCATAATTCACAAATAAAATATTTTTTAAAGAGCGCCGCCCCCGATTGACCGCCGCCCCCGAATGAGCCCCGCATCTGAAGCTCTGAAAATTTAAGAGCGCCGCGGCGCTTAAACGAGTATAAATACGGTATTTAGTTTTAATTTGCAGAAGTGAACGAGCAGCGAGAATCATGATTTATACAATGAGTTTATGTATGTCTTTATTAAATCGAAAAAAATCTCTCTTTTTGATTTACATACCAAGCAAGAAAGTTTTGCCTGTATTTATCAGGTAAGATGCAAGAGCCTGGCACACGACCAGATTTTTATGATGACCAAAATAGGTCATATAGCTGTCGTACTTATATTGTTATCGAAAGTTATTTAGAAAGAATTGTTTTAGTTTTCAGAAGTGAACGAGCAGTGGGAATCCTGATTTATACAACTGATGAGTTTATGTATGTCTTTATTAAATTGAAAAAAATCTCTCTTCTTGATTCACATACAAGCAAGAAAGTTTTGCCTGTATTTATCAGGTAAGATGCAAGAGACCTGGCACACGACCAGCTTTTTAAGATGACTAAAATAGGTCATATAGCTGTCGTACTTATATATTGTTATCGAAAGTTATTTAGAAAGAATTGTTTTAGTTTTCAGAAGTGAACGAGCAGTGAGAATCCTGATTTATACAATGAGTTTATGTATGTCTTTATTAAATCGAAAAAAATCTCTCTTCTTGATTTACATACCAGGCAGCAAGAAAGTTTTGCCTGTATTTATCAGGTAAGATGCAAGAGACCTGGCACACGACCAGGTTTTTATGATGACCAAAATAGGTCATATAGCTGTCCCAGCCTAGTCTCGGTTCTGAAGCAAGCGCGAGAAAAAACGTGGATGTAGTACGAGACTGGGACCTAGGTGTGACGTCACCGCTAAAGGTGCTTCAGAACGCCTAGCAGATTTCAGTATTGTTAATATGGCGGAAAATTTATATATACAAGTAACTTTTTATTATAAATACGACAATGTTCGTTGATCATATACATGTTCGATGTCTACATAACCAAATTCAAACTGTATTAAAAATGTGCTCAACTAAAAAAAATTATATACAAATTTACGATACCGAGTCTGAGCTGGCCATCTTGATGTTATTTATATACTCGCAAGTTGTGATCAACACTAGACCATACTGGTATACACAAGTACGCTTTCTACTTGACCGGTTTGAATTGCTGAGGAGATTGGAAATATTTGCCTAACATGACTGTGTTGTCAAAACATTTTTAGTCGGAGACTCGGCATAATTTTCAAGCTTCTAGATAGCATTTAATATGGCTATATATTTTAGTAAACACGAGTCATATTTAGCCCGTTATTCCATTCTGACCGTATGGCAGCGAAACGTAGCCTATTTCATTGTTCCGACAGCATTAGAGCAAAACTAATGACTTAATTATAAATGCAAAGGAAATTTCCATAATATTTTCCATTTACCAATGAGGTATGCTTGGTAACCAGGCCAGGTTAAGACTTATTTAAATACATCAAAGCAGCGAATAGAGACAGAGCCTGGGACTAGGCTGTAGCTGTCGTACTTATATTAAATTGTTATCGAAAGTTATTTAGAAAGAATTGTTTTAATTTCCAGAAGTGAACGAGCAGTGTGAATCCTGATTTATACAACTGATGAGTTCATGTATGTCTTTATTAAATCGAAAAAAATCTCTCTTCTTGATTCACATACAAGCAAGAAAGTTTTGCCCGTATTTATCAGGTAAGATGCAAGAGACCTGGCACGCGACCAGCTTTTCAAGATGACCATGCAAAATAGGTCATATAGCTGTCCTACTTATATTGTTATCGAAACTAGTTATTTAGAAAGAATTGTTTTAGTTTTCAGAAGTGAACGAGAGGTGGGAATCCTGATATATATATATATATATATATATATATATATATATATATATATATATATATATATATATATATATATATATATATATATATATATATATATATATATATATATATATATATATATATATATATATATATATATATAATGAGTTTATGTATGAAACAATCTCTCTTCTTGATTTACACTCAAGTAGATTAATATCTGGGTCTAGCTTAAAATTACCATTAAAACACTTAAATGGCCATCCTGAGCTTGACACTTAAACATTCCGGGTTTGCATGGCAACATGTCACGTGACATTTTTGGTGATTTTAAAGGAAAATATCGGAAAATATTAACCGAGTCAAAATCCTAGGCTCGATTACTAGCCGGCATTCGAGGAAGCTCCCCTGAAGGGCCCAACTTGAGGCAACGGCTGGTATATAATCGACTGCATTCGAGCCGAGTCAAATCCGCGAGCCCGAGTCAAATGTCCGAATCACTGTTTAGCGGTCTTTGACTTTGTAGTGCAATGACTTAGTACCCTAACCCTATTCGATTGTGAATTTTATTCATTTTCGTCCTTTTTTACGTGACTCGGACGTTTGACTCGGATTTGACTTCGTAAATGAATTTACTCCTGTGTCAGGGTTTGGCAAAGTCGCGCACAGCAAGAGCGCACACAATGAGCAAGAAAATCTTAAAACCTCTAAATCTCCCATATGCCATGCACGAAAGTAAAAGTGAGCCAAAATCTGCCAGTTTAAAAACAAAGAATGCTGGTACTATATCAGGTCTATTCATGGTAGTTTTACAGTAAAGAGTTTCGGAAAATAGGAAGGAAACCTATGGCATGGATTGGCCGGAACATGCGGTGTGTCATTCCAGACCTCACACTCATATTATTAAACTTTCCCCTCACTAGAAGTGAGGGGGAAGTTTAATAATATGAGTGTGAGATGTCGAATGACATGATAATATGACAATAATAATATGAGTGTGAGGTGTGGAATGAATGTGCAATGAATTTTGGATTTATCCTACTCTGCACTTTCTTGGAAGTTGACTTGGTTTTTTTTTCGTGCAACGTCTTTGGAAATGCAATATTTGGATCGCTGAATTTTTCGAATTTTATACGTTTGTAAACAATATTGTCTCCGCATGCTCAGAGACCATGTGCATTTATGGATAACGTTTGTATTTGTGAGTAATACTTGTGTTTCATTAGGCATTACGACATCTCCTGAGGATCACGCCACGCTTTTAGCCTTGGCACCGTTTCACGCTTTGCGTTTGCGGTTCCGCATATTTTGTACTCCGTAGGCGTTCTACCCATTAGACGTTGAAAGTATATTTAACGCCTGGCTTGAAAGTATATTTAACGCAGCGATTGCTTCCGAGCATTCATATGGAACTGAACTCGTGAAGTGATTGAAGTAAACGTGAACAAGGAACTATACATTGAAACTACCCGTCATATTTATAGCGTGAGTAACGAAAGTAAAAATGAATGTTGCAAATGCAAAGAACTAACAGAGAAGGTAGTTGCTGGTGCGAAAGATAATGAGAAACTGGCAAAAATGATAAGAAATTTGAGGCAAGAAAATGAGAGTACGGGTACTACCGGGGACGATAAGGGATATAAGGAAAAATTTCAAGCTCTGGTTGAAATAAACCATTGCTGCAAGAAAGACTACGAAGAACTTCAAATGCGATATGAAATGCTTAAAGGCGAGAAGCGACTACTTGAAGACGAGGAAAAGGAGTTAAAATTACGTATATCTGAGCTGGAAAAACGACAGGGACCTTTAGAAAGCGAGCTAGCCAGACTAGTCAGCAATAGCGGACCTTCGGAAGAGCAATGTGAGATCCTGAAGTCTCAGATAATCGTTTACAAAGAGGATTTTGAAAGGGAGAGCAACGATCGGGAGAAATTACATGAAGAGAAGGAAAAATATAAACATAAACTGGAGAATTCTGAGGAAATTATCAGAAAGTTAACTGCGGAACTTGATGTTTGCAAAGCCCGGGAAGAATCTGAGAACGGGTACCTCAGTGAGAGAGTTGCCACTCTCCCTCGGTACCAGGTGCACTATACCCAGTACCCATATCAACCTGTTGATCAGAGGTGGAGAATGGAACAACAAAGAAGAGCAAACCTACCCCGGAATCCCTCAACAACGTCATTATTTTACGGAGGAGATGTTGAAGTTAATGTATTAAGTCTTATCGTTCTCGCGGTCTAACGAGGCTTTTCATATTATTTCACGCAATCTGGCGATTTCTCCATCTTCCTCGTGCAACATTTTTGACGGTTGTATGTTAACATTGTCCATATTAACTTTTGATCTTGATAATAATATCTTTATGATCCTTTATCATAGCTGTATAAAAAATAGAACGGCCGTAACATTTTTCGAGACAGTTCAAGACTCAACTAGTTCTTCTTACATACTTAGTTAAAACTACGTATATCTGAGCTGGAAAAACGACAGGGACCTTTAGAAAGCGAGCTAGCCAGACTAGTCAGCAATGGCGGACCTTCGGAAGAGCAATGTGAGATCCTGAAGTCTCAGATAATCGTTTACAAAGAGGATTTTGAAAGGGAGAGAAACGATCGGGAGAAATTACATGAAAAGAAGGAAAAATATAAACATAAACTGGAGAATTCTGAGGAAATTATCAGAAAGTTAACTGCAGAACTTGATGTTTGCAAAGCCCGAGAAGAATCTGAGAATGGGTACCTCAGTGAGAGAGTTGCCACTCCCTCTCGGTACCAGGTGCACTATACCCAGTACCCATATCAACCTGTTGATCAGAAGTGGAGAATGGAACAACAAAGAAGAGCAAACCTCCCCCGGAATCCCTCAACAACGTCATTATTTTACGGAGGAGATGTTGAAGTTAATGTATTAAGTCTTATCGTTCTCGCGGTCTAGCGAGGCTTTTCATATTATTTCACGCAATCTGGCGATTTCTCCATCTTCCTCGTGCAACATTTTTGACGGTTGTATGTTAACATTGTCCATATTAACTTTTGATCTTGATAATAATATCTTTATGATCCTTTATCATAGCTGTATAAAAAATAGAACGGCCGTAACATTTTTCGAGACAGTTCAAGACTCAACTAGTTCTTCTTACATACTTAGTTACAAACGCGTAAAAATTAAATCGCAATTTAAATGAATATGAACAATGAGCACCGGCTTGTAAAGTATTTTCAATTAATTTGCAAATGTAACGCCGTATCTAGACACTTATGCGGTCTATATGTGTTCCTGTAAATATGGTAAAAAGTTCAATAATTTCAATAAATTCAAAATGAGCTACAGTTATGGGGCGGCGGTTTGTAGTGTCAAAGGCAGAATAGCGATATCCACTGGATGGTGATTTTTAAAGCTTTCAGTAAAATTGTCTGTTGATTGGTATAACACAGAATAAACTTTAGCATTGATAAATTAAAGTTTCTTTTCTTTCATTGTGAGGTACATATCCGTAAATCCAGCCTTCGTACAACAGGCCGCTGATGCAAAGCGGAGTTTTAAAGCACAGGCCAGGGACGCCGGAACGATCATAAGACAAAGGGGGGCGGACCCACAGCAAGGCGACCTCCCCCCCCCCTGTCGCCAAAAAAATTTCGGTCAGTGTACCATTTTAGGGGTCAAAAATTTTTTCCGGACATACCATAAGTGAAATATAACTCTAAATTGTCTGAATCTCATATTTTTCGGACAAAAACCATCGTTCTAAATGTGATTTATCACGTATTTTTTTTTAACTAAAAGGGCACTTCTGCCCCCCCCTGCCCCCCTAGCAAAAGGCAGGGGGGGGCAGCCGCCCCCCCTGCCCCCCAGTTCCGGCGTCCCTGGCACAGGCCGTAGTTGGCAATTAGGTAGTTATCAATACAACGAGCAAACTATTACCGTCATGCCAGGTTTCTGGCGATGTTTAAATTTCAGTCCCCAAATTCTGGCCTACCGGGGCAACTGACTCGGTGGACTCATAGCTAGTTACGGGCTTGCAGATGATCGTCAAATTCAACGAAATGTTAACAACTTAACAGTCATTTTCTCACTTCGATACATAATTGCTGGTTGACCACCTACTGCAGCTAGTTCTTAGAGACCTCACTGGGGGAGGGGGACAAAATTGCCGACTGGAGGGGCCAGAAAGAGGGCTGGGGGGTACATGTCCCCCCAGTCTAGATGTTAAAAAAGGTCCTGTAGTGAGTTCTTATCTAGTGAGGTTATAGAGTGAATGGTGTGGCCTGCGAACTCACCAGATCTCAACCCAATTATGCATCTTTGGGACCATGTCAAGCGCTCTGTCTATCGTCGAAGCACAGAATACAGCACTCTGGCTGACTTGTAGGAGATCCGGATGGCTATACCTTGGTGGTAGGTGAGCAAACTCGTCAATACCATGAGGTGACAACTGACAATGAGTGGAGGTGATCGAGAAGCGTGGTGATTACACCCATTTTTAAATCGTTGATTGAACATTACTGCTGTTCAATAAAGTCGTTCTTGTTAATTTTGCAATTGGTTTTTTTTTGTATTCAAATATTCATGTTTTTCACGTTTTT